TCAGTGCATATTAGCTCTTCTCTCCTTAAATCCCATGTTTGCTATGAAATCTTGGTTCTAAATAAAACTTTCTATAACTACACATTTAACAGATTGTTATCCCTGTTTGTTCCCCCATTGGAATGTAATCCACAATCTCTTTGGAACAAGCTCATCTTTTGCTTGTTATTTAGTAAAGCATCACGTATATTGTTGGGGTAACATTGTACATTTTTGCTGCATACCAACAAGGATACTTTTAAGTAGAACTGTTTTTAAAATGCTATAAACTTCTAATCAAAATTTACAAAAATGTATTAGAAGCATATTCATGTGGTGCAGTTAAAATAATATGATTTTTATCTGTTTTAGACCATGTTTTAATATACGAAGTCTCATTTTATTTTCTGCAACAGCATTCACATAATGCAACAAATTAACAGCATCAAAGACGTAATACCCATCTGTACCTGTCAACCCCTGGCTGGCCGAGAGATGCAGTCAAAGTCTTAACCCAGTGCCTGGAGGCTGTGTGGGTCTGGATGGGGAAGAACAGATTCAGGTTCAGTCCTGACAAGACCTATGGGCTATGTCTGTTTGACCCCCAACGTCCATCTGGAAGTATTCCAGTGTTGGCTCTCAATCAAGCTGCATTTCGCTGAGACTTGTATGCAATCTGGGGATCCTCTTGGACTCTCAGCTCCTGCTCACAGAGCAAGTGGAAGCTGTGGCCAAGAGGTCCTTTGCACAGGTACATCTACTGTGCCAGCTGCGCCCTTTCCTGAACCAGGAGGCCCTTCAGACAGTCATTCATGTCCATGTTATCTCACAATTGGATTACTGTAACATGCTTTACACAGGGAAGCCCTTGAAGACCATTCAAAAGTTAAAGTTAGTTCAGAATGCAGTGGGGCAGACAATGATGGGGGCATTGTGTTATGCATGTGTGATCCAACTACTCACGAGTTGCACTGGTTGCCAGTTGGCTTCCAGGTTCAATTCAAGGTGCTGGTTATCACCTTTAGAAACCCCTCATGTCACAGGGCTTAGCTATCTTGTCTTCAACTTGTGTTGAAAGACTGCTTGTCTTCAAGTTGTGTCTGCCCATCCAATTTGATTCAGCAGGCTGGGTACACTCTGGGTCCTGTCAATTACAGAATGTCATCTCATAGGACCCAGGAAGTTCACTTACTCTATTGTAATTCCTGCACTCTGGAATGATCTCCCCCTAGAGATCTGGGTGGGTCCCATCATCATATTATTCAGAGTACTACTGAAGACCTGGTTGTGCTCCCAGGCCTGGGGGACAGAGTAATTGTGGCACCTTTTTTGTTTTATTTTTGTTTGATTTGTGTTGGTTTGGTTTTGATATTTTGCTCTTCTGGTCAGCTGTATTTTTATACGTTGGTTTTTGCTTGTAAGACATCCAGAGTCATTTGGGAGTTGGGAGGTCTACAAATGAAATAACAGTTTCCTCCCATACGTTATTTCCAATAATATGTACTTTTGAAAAACATCAGTAAGTTGCATCCTTTTCCTATTCATATAAATTCAATCTCACTATTTTCAGTGGGGTTTACTCTTAGTTAACCGCTAATAATTTCAAAGCAAATTGATGTTTCTGTAGTAAAGGGTCACTGCAACTATTGAAAATGCAACTATCAGATTTCCTGTTCTGAAAATATCACAAATAGTTTTATTGCATGTTTGCTCTTTCAAAATGAATTGAAAGCAGCTATACATTAAAATGTGTAAAACTAAAACTAGCAAGGAACACCATTATTATTCAGCTAATACATGGAAAACTTCAAGTTTTTTAAAGTGACAATAAGCTTAATCATTATTATCCTTAGTATACTAATATGTAGTATATGCCTCACTTCTATGAGGGCTTGATCTTCTGATGCCCCCTGTTCTTATGTAAAAGATACTCTCTCCTTCAATCCAGAAGGCTGCATGAAGTTAATCAAATTAAATGTTTTAAATGAAAATAAACAGAAAAAAACTGTTCAATTCAATTAGATCTATAACAGATCCTAGCACAAGAGGAACGTATCCCTGGAAGGTGGATTCTTCAATTTCCAGCAATTCATTTCCACTTACAATAACTCCGTACCATTTCCAAGATTCTGAGTCACAGAAATGGCTTCTCAGGAAGTTACCAGTGAAGAAAAGGATAGGAATGTCTACTTCCCACTGCCAGCTTACACAAATTTCCAGGATTCTTTTAACCTTACTGAACCTTTAACACAGGTTCCAAAGTCCACTTTAGCTTGCATTGTGGAGAAAAAGAAACTTCCGGTGGCTGAAATCAGATATTACTATATCATTAAGCAGCAGTGTACTGATGCACACTTTGTTAATTACAACTGGACATTCTTGTCCATGATTTAATATGTGTGAAGAGAAGCTCTGGTTCCTCTCCTAATAAACCAGAAGCATGTTGTAGTTTGTTCTTCACTTCTGTCCTCTCTTCGCTATATATATATTTTGATGAATCACATACTAGCATATTATTTTTAATGTATTAAAAACTATTGAAACAATGAGATGAGATTTCCAACACCATCTGCAAAGCAGTATTAAAGAACTTATATACAAGAATCTCACAGTACTGCAATATTTTCTAGAGTATGCAGAAGTATGCTAATAATCCCATCTCAAATACTATGAGAAACAAGCATATGATCATTAAATAAGAAACTCAGCACTTTAACTGCAACTGAGAAACAATGCTGAGGTGCAATTTTAAGCATCAAATAAGCCACACACTATTTTCTTAATGTAACCAATTCTTCAATTAAATTATCTAGCTGGAGCCAAAGATTCCACTCCACTCACAGAAGAAACTGCAGTTCATGAAAGAAGTTTTACGTGAGTAAAATGACAGATGAAGTATTTTTCTTCATGGAGAGGAATCTTTTGATTCAACCTCTCAATTTTACTTTTCAGAGGGCTGGACCCCCACATATTGAAAAGAAACAATGAGGCAATTTTCGAATGCTTCCTTTGCCTCCTGAAAATTTGTCTTTGAGGACATGGGAACTTACCAGAGCAACATGAGAGACCACACACAAGGCTGCAGAAAAACAGGAAATCAATGAAACTGTCTCTCCATTCCCTTTCACCCATAAACAAATGGGGCTTTATTTCTGGAACGTCTAATCTGAATTCAACTCAGATTTTCTGCTTCACAGGAAACAACCTCTCCCCCCCAAATAGATAACAATTTTCAAAATAAAAACAGAATTTTTCATTTCCTAGTCGTATCACAAACCCAAACTCAGTATTTTTATTGGCCTTTCAATAGTAGTAGTCTGCTGTTGAAACACACCAGACAATTAAAAATAGATAGCTCAAATCTTCAGAAAGACAGTTTTATTAACAAGAGGCTTAGTAAGTTTAACAGTGTAGTACAATCAATCATGTCATTTTTCAGGAGTGCACCATCTCAGTTCCTGTCAAAACAATTTCAAATCCATGAATTACAAAAGTTGTAATGCAGCCACCTCTTCATTGCAACACCTTCACACAGTCCTTCAAAGAATTACTGAACTGCAAAATCCTCTCCTGATGTAGCATTCAATAGGCTTTTGCATCCATCTTACACACTGGGTGAATAGAACAGTCTTGCCACTTGCATTTCTATATCATAACAGGCTGTGCACTTCAAATGTTCCATCATACACAACTCAAAAGACACTGTTTAACTAGGAACAGAATAGCTTTTAAGTTGTTTAAAATACAATGATTTTCAAAGGGTTTTTCAAACAACTCATTTCAATCTTTCCATTTTTAAGCTCTAATCATGAATAGTCCAAATTTCTACTTTGATTTTCTATATAATAGTATCTTCTCTCTTTCCTAAGAGAGCTCTACTTAAAAAAACAAAAAAACAAAAAAAAAACGCTACACAGAGATTGAAATTGAAAATATAAGCTATTGTAAAGACTATAAGAACTCAAATGTACTGGGATATGTTTGCAAAGCTTTAATTTCTTAAGTGATCCATAGTAATAATTCACAAGAGTTCATGAAGTAATAGTAACACAAATGATTACTAACATTAACACTTCGCATCAGTCCCTTATGTTCACTTATGGAGTTAAAAACTCAAGAGGTTTTATAAGAATGTGATTCAAAAAGATACACAACATACACAGTGTACAAAAACCAAATGATAAGCATCCTATTCCAACTGTAACATACAATCCTAACAAAACCATCTAATCAAACAATTTTTTCAAGTTATGGCATTGCATGGCACCTTCACGTGTTCATTTTAATCATACAGTGAATAAAGATGCAGAAAGACAACAAGGGTACCTGCACTTGTGGCAAATATCTTATATTCAATATAATCAGTTGCAATAAAACTAAAATTATTCCACAAAAAAAGCTGGAATTTTACGGATTGTTCTGTTCATATACAGGAAAACCGCCTATCTGCGTTATTTCACTGTCCATACACCAAGAATCTTTGAAAACAAGTACATAAACAATCTGTGTATACTTTGACTTTATTCAGTTGCAAAGTAAAATTAGGACTTTAAAAACGACAGAAAAATCTTTGACTTGTGTAAACAAAGAAATTCAGCCAGCTTTTAACCAACTCTAGGAATAGCTAGTTTCTATTTTACAATGGCTTCAATAGCACCCACTAAGAGATCACTAACTTCATCATGACAATTTTCCTCAGCTTTCCTAACTTTCAAGAAACCAATCTAGACTCCTTGATGAATATTTCATGGTCAATTGAGCATTAGAAAACATCTCTATTGATGAGAATCCTTCTCCATGTATCTGTACTGGCAGAACTGCACATCCACTCTGGTGCATATTTTCTTTTGCAGCAATTGTTCTGTAAACAGTTAAACCAGTGTTCTCATTCTTATCAAAACAATTTGTAGTTTAAACAAATTATAGGTTCTACCTGGAGCTACTATAAAACAGTCTGAATGCATAAATCACAGCACTAATATCTAGTCTACAAGGATGTTATACTCCAGCTAACCTAGAACAAGTTTGACTTTTCTTGAGCCTATTGGTCTGTCATTCAGATCAACAACAGCTGCCATTGCTTCATCACGAGACTCAAATGCAACCATTGCTTCACCTGTAGGCATGCCTTTCTCATTGTATTTTAAGCACACTGAACCTGGGATTACTTGATAACCATAGAAAAAATCCAAAATTTCATCCACTGATACAGTAAAGGGCATATTCTGAACTTTAATGACAGTCGGCCCTGGCTTACCAGAGCCAGCTCCAAATCCAGGTGGCCCAGCAATATGCAAGTTTCCAGGTCCAGGCCCAAACCCTGGAGGTCCACTTAAGTGTCCAAGCCCACTACTAAGACCTGGAGGTCCACTACCAAAACTAGGAGGACCAGTTAAATTACCAGGACCATTTCCAAAGTTTTGAGGACCTCCTCCAAAACCAGACGGCCCAGTTAAATTACTAGGCCCACCTCCAAAACCTGGGACATCAATACCTGTACCAGGCAGGACAGGCAAGCCACTGCTTCCAATAGAAGGCATTCCTGGCCTGGAGTCACCAAAACCACCTCCTCCTATTCCTGGTGGTGGAAGAGGAGGACCAAATGCATTAGAACCACTGAAATTGCTGGGAAAATGAAAAGGAGGACCACTCTTTGCATCTTTTGAACTACTACTTATGAAAGAATGCTCATCCCCACCAGCATTCTGTACTCCTGGCATTGCTGTATTCCCTTGCAATGGCATTTTCAACATTTTTTTCCCTTGAGAGGGAGGATTTCTCTCAATTTCTCTCATTTCTTCAAGAGAAATCACTCTTAACACAACATCTCTTCCATTCAGTTTCTTTCGATGTAGGCGCTCTGACTTACGAGCATCTTCTTCAGTTTTGAACTGGACCAGTGCTTGTCCTAATCCTTGCCCATTAGTATCAACAAGTATCTGTATAGAGTTCTCCTCTATGGCCAGCCCCTCAAGAAACTGAAGAATTTCCATTTTGGTAATATTGTAGGGGATATTAGATATATGAGCACAGAGTTTAGAAGGGCTTGTTTCTCCTTCTGCATTTATCATAATTTCTCTCTGATCATAGTTGAAATTCTGTAGTCTTTTTCGAATCATATCTATTTTTTCTAACATAGCTTTTTTAGTTATGGGATGAACTTGAATGAAACGATTTCCTATGTACTGCTTATGATGACATAAAGCTGCTTTGTAGTCAGTTTCATTCCTGAATTCAACAAAACCTTCACCAAGTGCTTTCCCATTGGGTCCATAAGCTATGTAAATACTGTCTTCCACAATATCTAGTTTTTTAAAGAAATCTATTACATGTTTGTTCTCAGATTCAAAGGGAAGACCTTTCAAATAAACACAGAAGCCCTGATCATGTGGAGATCTGGATCTTGATCTTTTCTGCCCATTAGGAGATTTGGACATAGAGAGAGTTTGAGGATGGTTTTGTCCGGAAGGACCCATAGTTTGCTTGAATGTTATATGACCTCCTGCAGAAACCCACTGTCTCTCTGTTGCAGGACTAACTTCAACATAACGCTGAATCATCAGCATCCTGTTTCTTTTCAAGGCTTCAAATGTATCTTGAGGAGAGCAAAACTTAACTAGTCCATTTCCATTATTACGTCCCACATGATCTTTCAGTATGTGCACTGCATCCACACGGAGTCCATGGAAAAAATCTTTGACATCAGATTCTGTTGCTGAAAATGGCATTCCATGAACACTGACATACAAATCGTCTGGATTGATAGGAAGAGATTTCACACTACTTTGAGAACTGATCTGAATAGCATTTATAGGATTCATGAACATCGGGTTCAAGTTACTGCTTAGATTCAATGCTGTTCCAGACCCATTCATTCCAGCAGGCAAAGGAGCAACAGGTGGGGGATTCATAGGAGGCATTCCTGATAAAGGAGGCAGAGGTGTCATAGGTGGTACAGGAGGCACAGGAGGTATTGGGGGGACAGGAGGCACAGGAGGCAATGTAGGAACAGGAGGTGGAACGGGTATGGGAGGAATAGAAGGCATTGGGGGCAATGATGGTAGAGCTGGAATAGGAGGTATTGGTGGAGGTGGTACTGTGTTCATTGGGGATGCAGTACTAGATATAGTAGAGCTAAATGTGGGACTTCCAAAAGTAACACCCAAATTGGGAGGTGCAGTTCCCATACTGGCAGTGGAAAACGTTGGTATGTTTTTGCTGCTTTCGTGAACTGAAGTAGCTGCAGTTACTACACTAGGAGAGGGGCTGTTGAAATTAGATACTGTAGTAGAAAGAGTCACCCTACTACTTATTCCAGAACTAGGTGGTGGAACAGATCTGCTAGCATTTGCTGGTGGCATATCTAGATTTGCTGTTTCAAAACGCCTACGACTGAGTTCAATCATATTTTGCATTTCAGTTTTACTGCTTAGCAACAGTGTGACTTTGGACCCTTTAATGGTACCACCTGTGCGCATCATACCAAGCCTTGCATCTTCATCAGTGGCAAAGACGATGAAAGCCTCACCCAGCTCACCCCCTACAATATGCACGCCCCCATCAGGAATGGTCAATCCAGAGAAGAAGTGACGAATGTCCATAGTCCCCGCCACAATTGGGAGACCTTGTAAGCGGATGACCACAGCCATGCTGCGCTGAAATACACACACCTGCAGATGAGAAAAGGCAACGACTAGGTCAGACTATTCATGACACCACATGTTTAACCTAGAAATTATTACGTTTACATGTTCCTGAAGGTCTTGAATAAGAATTCTAATCTCTAAATCTATTTACATGGCACTTTCTACAGAGACTAATTTAAAAGCAAGATCATAGCAAGTCTTTCCAGTAAACTGCAACATGAAGTAACAAAAGCTGTTAGCTTAAATCTAGTCAAGAACTGGCACCAAAAAAAAAAAAGAAAGAAAGAAAGAAAGAAAGAAAGAAAGGAAAAGAAAAAGGAAAATCTCCAGGAAAGCACCAAATCAGAACTTCAGATATGACAATCCAATCCACAAATTGCATTTGAAGCAGGCTGGAAAAATTATACATAAATCAAATTTTATATTTCAGCCCCAAACAATAACAAATAGCTCTTTAAAGATAAGTAGGCATCAAAACCACAATTCTAGATATCCAGTCATCTAGCATCTGCATCCTGCTCACTGTCCCTCCTCATCCCTTGTAAACTTTTCTCTACTATTACAGTAATTTCTTCATATAAGCTAGAGAATCTGACATGGTATTTGGACAAAAAGCTCTAGAATTTCTAGCTATTACAGAACCTGCTACTCTTTAGGAGTCAGCTACAAACCAGCAGTTCACTCCTATTTCTCTGTCTCTGTAAAACCAATGTTAGATCTTTCTATTTCTGACAATATTAAAGTATAGCCATTTGCATCTCTGATTCAGCTAAGTAGCACTGCTACAAATATTCCTAGCACGAAAGGTCTGGAATATCTATGAATGAATACACTATCAAGGATTACTATTTAACATATTAAAGATTTAACAAGAAAATCTTTCAAACACCATTAAAAAGAATGCTGGGCTTCCAAAAGCCTGCAGTATCAGGATTTTTGTTATTTCAAAAATCCTGATACTGTACTTAAAAGCAATCTCATGAAAGGGATTGCCTCTCCCACTATCAATCTGCCTGCTTAGTTACTTAATTAAGCAGAAAAGGATCTTTTGAAGGTCCACCTCCAAAACTGTCAAAAGTTCACCCATCTAGTACACAGTACTGTGTCTTCTACTGCACAGCTCTCTGGCTATGGAATGCATTCTCCAAGGTGGTTTGTTTGGGCCATATTACCCTAGAACATTATGAAAACCCATCTTTCATCAGATTTTTACTTGATTTAATTTTGATTTTAAATTTACTTTGATTTTAATTATTTTATTCTTATGTTTTATAATTTGTATTTCTACTTATTGTATCTTTAATTGTTGCAATTTGCCTTGAATTTTATATAGACAGAAAAGTGGAACAAAAAAAAATGAGAGGAAACTTCCCTTATTTAATTAAAATCTCCTTATGGTTGCAGAGAACATTAATCTTAACTTAAACCACCAAGAACTAATAGTCTTAAGAACAAAAGCTCAACCAAAGCCTTTACAAGCTAGATGAAACAAGGCAAGAAACTAATAAAACATCAGGTTATGCTGCTAATCTTCAGAACCAATTCAGTTTAATTCTCCTTTATGTGTATGTATCTATATATATACTGAAACTAATGATGCAACAAAGCAATCCACTGATTAATTAGCAAATATATGATATACTGAAAAGTCATTGATATTGGTGCTGGTGGGACTACGATGGTCTTCATATTCTACAGAACATGTAGACACACAAACATTACTGGCAACATCATAAATTCTGCTACTGCAAAACTAATACTCCCATACCTGAAAATTTATAATAATGTTATTAATTGCAATGACAAGGCAACGTTGGAGAGGCAATTTTTATGTCAACTTGTGCAACACAGTTGGGGATCCTTATGTTATGGAGAAAAGGGTGTGTTAAATTAGAAGAATTAGGCCAGAAGCCTTCTGTATTTTGGGTATACTGTATTCACAAAGTAAGCTACATCATGTCTGAACCTGTACTATCATTTTCTTCAGATTAGATTATCAAACCACAGCCCCATGTGACCATATTTGCCTTTTCTAAGTTGGTCAGACTGCTTGTGAATGGGTGTGTTACTACCAAGAATGCAGCTCCCAGTCAGTTTCTATGGTTAAGCATTCTATCCAATCCTCAGGTAGCTGCCATTTCCCTTTAACACTGATCAAAATGCCAGTCATCTTCCTCTCTAGCTGGTACTCTAACCACTTCTGTGAAGGCAAGCCTGCATTTCCTGATTTTTGAAAACAATAGGTATACTGAACATTAATAGTTTTTTCATATTTTTGTTAAATTGGAAATGGCAACTGCTCTGGGTTTGGTAGCATGCTTATCTACAGGAAAGCTACATGGTTAAAGAATGACACAAGATGGGGGCTACCATGGTCACATATGAATTTCCACCAACCAGAGTGGTCAAGCATGTCATATGTAGCCAGACTTAATAGGCCAGATGAAATTAAATAGGTCATTTTCCAACTTAGAAAATGAGCTAGAATGCTGAAGCAGATACAAAACAGAGACATACTCTCACAGCATCTACTACTTCTTCAGCCATGAAGGATATTCTTTGTGAAAACAAAGAGACAAAGGGTTAGCAACCCTTTAACTCATACATGATGGTTTTAAATTTGATTATTGCATGTACACCTATTGTTTTCAAAAATCAGGAAATGCAGGCTTGCCTCTGCAGAAGTGGTTAGAGTACCAGCTGGAGAGAAAGATGATTGGCAAACTGCAGCTGGTGCCATGTCATTGGTGCACTATGGGTAAATTTCTTACACAAGGCAAATGCCAAACCATACAAATACACCCTAAACCACATTTTTTCATCTAACCATGGTTGATATGTTAACTTTAATTTCCAAAATCATCAATTAGTATAGAAAAATATGTATAAGGATTATTTTATGAAGTAATGTTGCTTGCTAACAAATTATTTATATGTATTACAATCACTATTTGTCAATATATTTTTAGAAAACAAATGAAATCTTCCAAATAGTGTAACATATTTAGTAGTAAGAAATGTATTTCCAATGGGAGAAATATTATAAGTTACATGCTACTCAAATGGAAAAAAAGTTCAAAATCAACACAAAGTAATCAACATTACCTACTAATCTCTGAGTTTCTATTATAATAATTTAAGGCAAATATAAAATAAATAAGGAATGCATTTAAATTTGAGTTTCTGGGTAATGGTTACATGTAATATGCCTAATGCTTTAAAACTTAAAAGCACTGTCAATATTAAAAGACTAGTATTTAGTACTTAATGCAGTACTAATAGCTGGAGAATCACCTACTATAATGTTGAGCATCTTCCAGCAATAAAAGAGAGGTATTTAAATGCTTAGACATATATGTCTTTGGATTACACATTCAGTGGAGAACCTACCATGAATACATTTGTAAGCTGAGTTGCAAAAGCAAGTGGCCTACTCAATATTTTAGGTGATATAATTACTTCAGCTTTTTCTTGTGTTTATAAAGACCAAAGGGGCTTGTTCCACAATATTCACGTTTTCCAGAGATTCAGATATTATCAAACAAATATTCAAATCCTATTGATGCTTTCATTCTGATTTTAAGAGCTATATTTATTATTAAATAAATTACAGATTTGAAGGCCTATCCAAAGCTGTTTGTCTATCTCCATGGCCATCAACTGATAGGTCAAATGTATGGAGTCACAACAGCAGGCCAATTTTTATGCAAATATATTTAAGAACTCTGCAATGCATCTCCAGATAATGTTTTGGCTGAAGGTAAGCTGGAGATCTGTAAAGACTGAAAGCAAAGACTGCTCAGATCCATATAAATACTTCATTTGTGTTAAATACATACATGCTTTGATATAACACATAGGTTACTACACATTTCCAATTACGAAGCAAAACGTAATTACCATCTAAGAAAGCAATTACCACCTAAAAAAGTTATATCCAAAACTTTCTCTGCAACCATAAACAGTATTGAGACCAATGCAGACAGCTACATCTTTTTAATCAAACAAATCTAACAAATCTGCTCAGAATACTAGCAGACATCAGACCCCCTGCTCTATATTTCAAAATGAATACTGTATAGATATAAGAGGTATATGCGGCTTTTAAAAAAGCTCTACCTTTGTCTTCATAACAATAATGAAAAGTTTTGCATCAACTTCTGCTTTTACTAGTTTTAATAGCTTCACTGTGCTGTTGGCGTGCACTAATATTTTATATTTTGATAGACACTCTACCTTTCAGATAGAGCAAAGTAAAAGTGAGGGAATTATATAATAAGCCAATTTTATAAAGCTATAATATCTAAAATCACAGTTTTTCTGTCATAGGGCAGCCTACTTAGAACAATTTAAAATATAAAAAGAAATACAAAATTATTCTTTTAAAATGCAAAACAAAATGATTGTACATAAACAGCCTCTTCATATTAAAAGTACAACCAACATATGTAACCAGCATAATATTGCAGTTCTCCAGAAAAACAGCCTGTACATATATTCAAGAAATGTTCTAAAAAAAAATCTGATACTGCATTCTGTAAAGTAAACGAAGTCCAGATATTCATTAATATGATCTGTGTGTGTGTTTGTGTGGGTGTATATCTGACGGTTCTTTTAGACAGCCAAAAAAGATAGGATTACAACAAAAAATCCAAACACAAAATGCAGATACTATTATATTACAAAGATGGCACATGGCAGCTAAAATAAATCAAATTTATCAGAGTACCAGAGGGGGAAACAAATTTTTTAAAACTTACATGGCTAATTTTTTAAAAAACCAATACTTGATAAGCACTAGATTTATAAAGTATATTTAAAAAGGCAAACTGAAAGACATACTTAAAAATTCTGTCTGTAGAAATATCTTCAAAAATGTTAACAACTGGACCTCAAAGGGAAAAGTCTGTACCATTTTGGTGATTGAAATGTTTAAAATCAATTCATGTATTCAAAATCACCTCAAAAATAATCTTGAATTGTCAAGTTGTGCTCATTAATCATAAATATATTTTGAGAGCATCTTACCTGCAAGGAGAGATGTTTTTTTTTTCCTTAACAAGTAGCAGAAGCCAAGTCAATCCTGTGGGCAACCAATTAAAACCAACTTTTAGACTGCAATAAAGAATAAATGGAGGCAAGAATCAATGCAAGCAACATATAGCTACAGTTAACAGTCCATTCTGAACTGTGCATTAAAGAAAATGTTGGGCCAAAACCATGATAAGGCACTCCCAACATATGGCAACCACAAGTTTGAGTGTGCCCAAATTAAAACTTCTGTTTATCCCTCACACTAGTTCACACACTTTAACAACAGCAATTAGTATTTATTTTAAATCAAAGTACCAAACATAAAAATGAAAATAAACTAAAAGCCATAACGTAAACTGTAGTCTCTCACATTAGATATATAATTTGCCAATACTGGTTTCAGAAAGAGGATTATCTTTCCCCTGCCAAGAAAACTAGAAGTAACCTACTTCTCATCCAATTAAATAGAGTAAAAAAAAAAAAAAATCTCTAAGTGTAATATCCTTTGAGGTCCTGCCACATTTGCAGAAATCAGATTAAATCTTCAATACCATACATCAACCTTCCTTCTACATATTTTGCTATAAAACTATCACTGTTCATTTATGTTCAGAGTTACAAAAAACAATGTATAATCCAATACAAATTAGAAACAGGACAATCCCATTCTCAAAGCAATAGACCAAAATATTATTCCACAATCAAAAAAGTGCCAAGCATTCAGTAAAGTTGTGCATTTTGGCAGCTTAGAAATACCTCCTTAACTACAAGTTCTGTTATCTGGCACCCAGTAACTACAAAATTTAAAATAATATCCCATTTAGGGAAAGAAAACAACAGATAGAATAAAAATCTCATGAATGCCTTGACTAGTAGTGCTATGAACCAAGCTTATTTAAACATTAAAGGAAGTTTTTTATTGACCAGAGTTTTCCAATCATTTACCAAAACAGTTTTTAAAGCTGACACAATATAATCACAAGATTAATAACTTCCACCAAATTCAAATTAAAACCTCAAATCTGAACAGGGAACGCCCCCCCCCCACAAATCTAAAAAACTGACCAGAAGATCAAAACCACAATTACAGCTTTCTAAACAATGCTGTTAAATAAGTAAACAATTTACAAAACATTTGTTCATTCATGTAAGAACATGACAAGACATGTTGGTTCATGAAAGAATGTATTGGCACAAATTTTTTTTTTTTGTTTACGTGAAACAAAAACCCTGGTGAACTTTTGCACATAATTCCATTTCCGTATAATATTCAGAAGTTGTCCATAGGACATCATATTGGAAGCCGCAGTCTACTTGTTGACATTTCTATTAAACAGAAGAACCTGTCAACATGCTCAGTTTTACCCTTGCTTCTATTTTCTATATATAAACTTCATACATTGCATTAAATAAACATTCTTAAGGACTGAACTACATATTAAAACCATCAGAAAGTGTCTGCATGTGTATATACAATGTAGAAACTAATATGCTGAAACTTTCTGCCATGTCCATTTGTGCCTGATCTTCATCATTCCAAAGCTGGTAACTGGGTTACCTTTACAAAACTCACTTCCAACATTTGAATTTTGAAAGTACACACCACAGTCCTATGAAACTAAGTTAATATGTGAAACTATGATAAAGCAGAATATTCTAAAGTACAAAACAGCTTCTCAACATTTTCTTGGAGCCTTCTTTTAGACACTATAATGGCAGACTTACTGTGCTTACCCAATAGCTGGGAGAACAGAAAAAGAAAACAAAAATAAATTAATTCACAGCTGAAAAGTCAAGATTAAGACAAAATGACAGCCAAGTTTTCCAACTCAAGTTAACCAAACTCAAAATACCAAATCTTATTTCTGAAAACTCTTATAAAACTATTGTATCCATTTCTACTTGAACACATTTAAATTTTTGCTACTTTTCTAAGTATCTGGTGAATTCACATCAATTATTTTTGCTCCTTAGGAAGAATTTTTTTTTGCATTTATATCACTCTCCAACATGAAAAATAAAGAAGCTAATATAATAAAGCACCCAATACAGCTCTATTTTATCAAGACTTCAAAACACATTACTACATTCTATATATAATTACTTAGGCCCCCATCTCTATGTAACAGATGGATTTGTAACATCCTTTCCAACATACATCTTTTTTTAAAACGCATCCACACTGAACATGTACACCAAGCTTTATGAAAACATTTCCTTTAAATCTCTTTAACCAATACTGACACCTAGTTTTCACTTGTTATCACATCACAAAATTAATATTTGCATCCAGGAAGGACCAGTTTCAGATTTCGCATTTACGTAATAAAAAAAACCCAGTTAATGCATGCCTTAAGATCACTCGCGATTTAAAAAAACAAGTACACACCAATACCGAAACTTGTAGTAAATGACACTCGTTATCAGTTCCAAAAGATCAAAAAGTAGCAATAGCGTTGTTCAAATTAAGCCCAGTATCACTACGAATATGCGCAACCGCGCAATTTTATTCAATTCCAACCCAGAAAGAAGTAGACGTATTGTAGTAGATCGTTGCAGAATTTTCCGCAGCCAAGGCCATCTTGGTTTTAAATCAAAAACAGCCTCACTTCGCCTCCTTTTCAACGAGGGCGCTTGTACTTTCCTTGGCTGGGCGACCAGCGACATCAAATCAGGCCCGAGGAGGCACTGGAGAAGCAGTTTCACGCAGCCAATTTATGGTAAGAGCACTAATACTCACCTACCCCCAAAACAAACGGGGTTACAGAACGACAAGGCCCATAGGCAATTCTTCACTGCCCGGAGCCAGCTCAGCCATTCACAGAAACTACACAAACCTGCACGCCAAGCCTAAAATACCTTGGGGACGTTACACATCCTCTGAACAAGTCGTACCGATGACCCCATATTATGGATCTAGGACTTAGGAAGCAACGAGGCTCCGGAATTTCCCTCAGGCCTAATTCCCGCCCTCCCGCCTTTGTGCAGCCGCAGTGAAAGAGAACCACATTTCGCTTGCAGCCGAGGTGGGCAAGCCCGGTTTCCCTCCCGCTCCTCAGCGAGGCAGGAGAGCTCCATGTTCTTACCGAGGAGCCTGTACGGGAAAAAAGGGTTAGAATGAAACCAACTCGCCGCTGAGCCCGGCGCCAGCGACCGAGCAGCGCCACAAAATGGCCGCCCGACCGCACCGCCTTCCTGCCCGTCTGCTGTTGGGAGGCAGGGAGGGAAGGAGGGGTCTGCAATGGGCGGGACCGCAAGCAGACCAAGGCAATACGAAGGGACTTCTCGAGCGTATTAAAGGTACCAAGGCGTTGTGTTAAGAGTACCTCCCTCAAGAACGTTGTTTCTGCTGAAACGGTGCGAAGCTGCTAAGCGCCCTAAAAATTAACATTTCCTCTGCGCCGAGCGCTTCGGTTGGTAACCTTCACGAAAGGCACGAAGCACTATTTTGCACAGTGCAGGTAGATATTCTCTGAACATTAGGACCAAGAGGGCATATTTCTTATGCAACAGTTCTTCACCCAGCTATATCGACCCCTGTCTACACACAGACACGTTCACCTTTCACGCTAAAGCATGGCTCGTTTCATCACGGCTGGATGAATGAACCACAATTGGCTCCACATCGTTAAAATAATAAACGACGTGTTTCAAACTATAGCGGAGGAATTCACACAGCCCTAATCCAAAAATAAACTAATTTCATTAGGAAAAAATAACCCTCTCTCAATCAAGCTTGACTCCTGGAAAGCGCACAAACACGCACACGTTTTCTTCGCAACAAAATACAAGCGGTTTGCTGGTGCCTTCTTGGGGATGCTTTTGTGACCGGATTCCCAGCCAGCTTCAGTTCTGAGATCTAGTGTCGATCTGCCACCCAGTAATTGAGTCCAGCCTTTCTTAGCTTTTTGAATCAGCCAAGCTTGGTTGGGTGCTGCCTCCTGCTGCGATTAGATTGTCTTGTGGTTTACTTCATCTCATGGATCCAGTGGTACACACCTAAGTGCTTGTCTATTTGGGTATAAACCCCTTTACATGATACAGTAATATTCAATTACACCACATGATATATAGATAAATTCATGTTATTTTCTAATAAGGTAGGTGTTACACTCTGAAGAGTTACCTAGGTCATTTTTACATTCCAAGTCAATTTATTAATTTATTTCAAAACTGATATGGCCACATGTCTTATATTTGATAATCCTAGGCAGCTCACATTAATTAGGACAACCCTTATTTTCTGTTGCCCCTTTGGGGTTTTACTTTTTTTGTTTTGTCTGATACATATATGTTTGAACTAGAGTTGTTAATACTGTTTCTTTGACCCAGTTCCACCAGTGGCTGAATCACTAGGCTTTATTGCAAGCCCTGTTTAGATGCTGAGTCCATAAATTCTAAGAATTAAAATTTTCACTTATCAGAGTAGTGTCATCAGTATAGTGCAAGTTATTGATTTTTTCCCCTCCAATTTTAAATGCTTATCTTCTTCCAATCAACCCTGCCTCAATATGTATTCAGCATATAGACTGAATAAATAAGGAGAGAGTATACAGCCTTCTCTCACTGTTTTGTCCACCTGGAGCCAGTCTGTTTTGCCATGTTTCATCCAGACTGTGGCTTCCTGTTCTGTGTATATGTTTCACAAGAGGAAAATGATATACAGGTACTCCCCAGTTTAAGAACGAGTTCTGTTCCCAAAGTCTGTCCTTAAGTCGAATTTGTATGTAAACTGGAATACTATTACTGTATAATACTGTATGAGTAGTATTGTGTAATTAACTCAAACCATTGGGTATTTAACACGAATCATTGTGTATTTAACTCGAATTTTGCTACACTAGGCTCCATTCTTAACTATGGGTTGTCCATAAACCGGGCGTTCTTAACCCGAGGACTACCTGTATTCTGGGATTCCCATCTTCCTAAGGGTATTCTACAGCTTGAAATGGTCAATGCAATCAAAGGCCTTTCTGTAACTAATGAAGCACATGTTAGCTTTTTTTCTCTATTCTTTGGCTTTCTCAGTTGTCCAGCATGCATCAGCAATAATGTGTCTTGTTCCTCAGCATTTTCTAAACCCATCCTGAACATCTGGCATCTCCTTTTCTGTGTAGTCCTCTAATCTGCACTGGATGATTCCAAGCATTATTTTCCTAGGATGTGAAAGGATATTTTACAAGAGTTTGGAAGTTTCATTCTTTCTTTGATATTGGTACATAGACTGACTTCTTCAATCTGTGGGCCACTGTGCCACTCTCCAGATTTGCGGCATAATTTGGTTAGAACCTTCTGATTCTTCTTCTCTTGCTTGCCGTATTTTTATAGATAGTCCATCAAATTATGTAGTCTTTCAAATTGATAATGTTGACCAAATTTCATCTTCTAACACTAGAGGCTCTTGTTAATAGGCAATATCTTCTAAGATATTTTGGATGTTGATTTCTCTACAGTACAAAATTACATATTCCATCTTTCTTTGATCTTTGAATCAGTTATTATATGTGCATGGGTGTCCTTTAGCATACTAATTCAAGGTTGGAACTTCCTTCTGAGTTGTTAGCAGTGAAGGAATCATTCAATTGGCAGAAACTGGTAAGTTATTTTTCTGCTTCATTTCTATTTCCTAGGCCATACAGTCCAACCGCTTTTCCTCCCTACTATTTCATCTTTGACATTCTGATCTCCGATCATAAGCAATACATCTTACTTGCATGTTCTATTTCAGATTGAACATGACCATAAAACTAATCCACTTCCTCTTCTTCTGCATCAGTGGTTAGAACATAGACTTGGATAAATGTCATATTGAAGGATTGTCCACAACATCCAATTAATATTTTTTAATGTATGCTGTCCAGTCATTCTGTGAGATGTGCAGCTATATAAATGCAATGAATGAACGAATGAATGTTCAATCATTAACTGCATTGTAACCAAGTAGTCTTTGCTATATCTTTCCTTTTTTCCTTTTCATGCCCTGAATAGTAAGCAGTATGATCTTCTGACGGAATGTGTCCAGACCATTTCAATTCTCTAATGGCTGTCAATCTGTAGTCAATTAATTTCATATTTCACGGTGTTGAGCTTTCCCGTGTTCATGCTTATGTTCCATATTCCCCCTGTAATTCTGTCTTTGCAGCTTTAGATTTTCTTTTCCTGCATGGCAACATCAGCAACTAGACATCCCAAAGAATTTAATCTAGTCATGTCATAAACACTATTAGTACTCTGAAAGATCCTCAGCTCTTCCTCAGTAGCATGTTGAGTGCGATCTGACCTGTTAGGGTCTAGAGGGGAAAAACAACCTTAAGCTTAATTGCAGAAGGCAGAGTAGGTATGGGTTCAGAAGCTTTCCAGTTCTGAGACAGGCTATCTTTAGGTTTAACTAGGATGACATCTTTCAAATAACTTCTCCCCAGATATTAGGACTACTATTTCCTGCTAAGTTTTCATTTGAATGATAAGAATTTGAAATTATGATTGTTGTTGTTGTTGTTGTTCAGTCGTTAAGTCGTGTCCGACTCTTCGTGACCCCATGA